AAACTGATGAGCTAAATCTCACAGTTTGAGTTTGTTTCTAATAACAGCAGCTTCAACTACCGCCCATTGAAGCAAGACACTCTTGTCACAGTTCATAAACTGCTAAAAGCAGTTCCATTTTTTGTGAAGTTTTATAATCAGTCTCCTTTAGCAGACTCCACATTAATGTCTTCTATAAATCAAGTGCCTCCCACTTTCAAACATTAATTGCCAAAACAGTGACAACAGTTCTCTTTTTAAGTAGATAGAAAGTAAACTGGATCTGTTGTTAATGCTCTGGTTTAACGGTTTCCATAAGTGAAATGTCACCTGGCCACTTGACAGAGAAAAGCTGCCCATTTCAGTGACTGCCTCCATGATGTGTTTTCTTCACCCTTGTGTGATGATGTGTTTATTGCTAGTGAAGAGTAAAGAAAAAGTACATTTCTGAGTCTGGACATACTTCTGAGTTTCAAATTAACAAGTTAATAAAATATTTAAAGGAAAAGAACAATCAGGGATCACTTAAGCAAGTTACAGGCATGTAGAACAGTAATATCCAGATTGGGAAGTCTGTCAAAAGTTCTAGAGATTTATAGGAGATAGTGTATTTCCTATATGTGTTGTTACTTAAAGCAGCTGGCCCGATGCTGAAATCACAACTGATGTCCTGGTTCAAACTGTAAAACCAGATTCAAAAATAAGGATTATTTGGATCCTAGTGTTTGCTTTGAGTATCCAATAACAACAGAAAACCAGATACATTTAACTAAGTTAAGGCTGAAAAAGAATTAACTTCATAATTTAATTTTGGCATTGACCTGGAGTCATTTGTTACACTTGCAATAATGTAGCAGAGATCTAACCAGGTACTCTATTCCAAATTTAGCACACCATTACACTGGCCACAGCCACAGTGGAACACTAAGGGCACTTATCAGTTAAAAATTAGGAATTTGACTCTTCACTATTAAGATTTCCCAGATTTTGTCCATGAGACTCAGTTCTGTGAGATGCAGTACAACAGCCACAAATGGGGATAAAGAGACACGGGTATATGGATATATATATATTCATACATATGTATATGTGTGTGTGTTTGTGTGTATATATCTATATCTATATATATATATATGTAAAGTTCATCTGGGACACAGCAAAGTAACATTTCCAAAATTATTTAAAACTGTTATTTTGAAGTCATTCCAGTTCACTATTCAAAATATGCCAGGACCTGCATGGGAACCTCTAAAGCCAGAAAGAAGAACGGAGTCTACAGGTTGTTAGGCCTTCTTGAACCAGAGCAATTCTGCACCCTGAGGAGGTTGAATTTCATCATAAAGGCATACATTTGGAATAATGGATTTCAAGCAAATAAAATTAAAAAGTAATCCAGGCAAAATCTAAACTAAATTGTAGAACCTGCAGGATTTTCTGGATGCCAAAAATATAATGGAAACTACAAAAAAGTATTTGCATAGTTTAAGGAGAAGAGATCCTTTATCGGCCATTTAACAGGTAAATAAACTTTCAAGAAACCTCTAGTCTCTGACTGATAGGAAGCTGGGAAAACATTCCCTGGGAGGCATCATTCTGTTTTTGCCCTGTTTCTTATGCTGCTACACACTAAGTGTCTCCTCATGTTCTTTCTTCAAGATACTGAGCAGCTGGTCCTTCATCTGCCTCAGTGCGTCTGCTACAATGTCCTTATTCCTTCCTTTTATTTGCTAACTCATCTGGGCATCTGCTTCTCTCCTAAGGTCTGAATCTCTAACCTAAAAAAAAAAAAAAAAAAAAAAAAAAAAAAAAAAAAAAAAAAAAAAAAAAAAAAAAAAAAAAAAAAAAAAAAAAAAAAAAAAAAAAAAAAAAGGAAAAAAAAAGACCTAAATAGGCCACAGATTGTTTTGCTTTGACAAACACTCAACAATTCCAGCTCTTTCATCCTTGTATGATCCATGATTTCATAATCTTCTTTTAATCAATCTTCATCACTTCTTTCCCAAAGTCTTCTTCTCTAATTCCAAGTCAGGTTCATCTCTTCTCATATGATGTAATTTGAAGCCTCTGATCACTTCCATCATCCTTTATTGCTTTCCTATATATATTTTTGAAGTAGGGAAAGAGAACTGATGGATACAAATCAGAGTGTGCCGTACATCTATACAGACAACGGGATGTTTTGTTTTGTTCACAAATCCTTTCTTAATAATTTCCAGCATTCTATTTTTGATCACTATTGAACATGGAGCTGATATTTTCAGAGACTCTTCAAAGCAATTTCACAATCTCATTTCTGATTAGTAACATCAAAAGTCCATTTGGTTATATAGGCAGTCACTTTTCATTTATAATGTAATTTTGCATTTATCATGAAAAGCACTATCAATACTAAATCACATAAGCTCCTTTATTTTCCTATCACGTAGTATCCTTCTGCAACAATTTGCAATCAGATTTAGATTTTATTATCCTCAGCAATTTTATATCATCTGCAATAGTCACCTCAATATTCATCCCCTTTCCAGACCATTTACAAATATGCTAAAAAGCAAGGTCACAAAACAAGGTCCTCAGAGATTCCAGAGACAATCTCCATCCACAGAGAAATGATCCCACATTTCTATTTCTATCTATTTCTATTTCTATTTCTATTTCTATTTCTATTTCTATTTCTATTTCTATTTTTGTTTTCTTTTTCTACTCCTATATTTTTAAGCATCTTATATCCCATGACAATCTCATTCCTTTAGTGACAGTATTTGCTCTGTTTGCTCAAGATTTTATGAAAAAGTTTGCAGGTATCTGAATAGAGACTACTATCTAGATCAGAGCAATGCTTACTAACTCCTTCAAATAATAAGACAACCTGTGAGCTTATTGGTTAGCTCTGTAGATGAGGATCATTTATAGACACTAAACTATCATGCTTATGCTATCTATGGACAGCCTAAGTACATTTTCTGCAGATTCCTTGGGGAAGAAGTCAGACTAAGCCACCCACTTCCAATTTTCAGAGTTAACAACAGGCCTTTCTGAAATTGGTGCTTCTGATAATTACAAAAAGAGGTTGATAAGACAACGCAGAGACAACCTTCAGAAATTTCATACCTAAGTTGCTTCAAAACACAAATACCATCGAGTCCTAGAGTTAATTTCAATCTAATAACTGATTCAATCTAAAAACTCGTCTATTGATTCTTTAGTTTGAGACAATAACTTCATAAATATTATACTGCAGGGGAAACTTAGAAAATTACTACCTCCATGGTGAACACCAATACAAATAACCCATCCATATTTCCCACTATGTCTTCACAGCCTTTTTTCTTTCTTTCTCCTTTTTATACCTTAATAATTTATCTTCTGCTCAGTCTCTCTGGCAAATCTCCATGAGTGGCCAGTGACTTGGTTTTAATTCCCCCAGGTCCAATGAAATCTGTAAAGTAAATCATGATGGAATTTCAGTTTGCTTTCAAATGAGAACACAGAGCATCCCTTGTACCCTGAGCTGTCATTCAAACCTATATGACAGGTGGATGTAAAATAACACCATTCTTATTAATTACTACAAAGTGAAGAAGACAGTGCAGAATCAGCTCTACCAGATTTATAGTGTGCCTGTGAAATGTTAGAATTACATGCCACTTTGAACTGAAATGTTACTGTGGTGTCTGAAAAGAAATCTAAAACAATTTCCTGCAAATAGGGAGTTCCTTAGTCCGCTTACCACACACATTTAATGCTTATTAGAAATGTCTGGTTTGTTAGCTAAAGCCAAGAGTTTATTGCCTGTTTGATAACTCAGTGCAAAGGTAATGGAATAGTACAATTTATATTTACAACATCTGTGGTAATGGGTAGATGTGTTGCAATATAGATCAAAGTTTTCTGGTGATGGAAAATTTTATATCCTAGTTGTTACATTTACGGACAAGGGACAGAATAAAAATTTTCAAAGGCAAGAATCAAATAATAATTTATTAGTTTGCTCTACTTTTATTGCAGTTTTTGTTTTTGTTTGGGGTGGGCGTTTTTTTGTTCTGTCTGTTGTTGTTGTTGTTGTTGTTGGGGGCTTTGGGGTTTTTTCTGTACTAGGCAGAGTTAATGATAACTTTTAAAAATCTGACTTTTCAGTATCCATAAAAGCTTAGTGAAAAGGATACAGTTAAAGCCTAACTGCAAAGTTAAAACCAGGGGGTGTGGGGGTGTCTTGTGTGTGTGTGTCTACCTGAAGATGGGGAAAGGACAGGAGCATTTTCTATTTACTACTCTTCTGATATTTATTCAGAGTTAAACCAAGGTTATTCTACAGCAACTTTGAATTGTTATTAAGAAGCAAAAGAGAGAGAGGGGTTGACTTTTCAAAATTTCCCTTTGTGATTGGAATATCACTAGGGTTGAATATGGCAGCTCTTCAGAAGAATATTGTACTGTATTTCAAAAAATATAGATGAGATCCTGAGAAATCAGAGCAATCAAACAAAAAAGCAAGACACGTTCTTGAACAAGAACACACGAGTTTTCTGATCTCCAGCACAGAGGAGACTGTGCTGACTGTTGAGCCAGTTATCATTTTGCAGTAAATTCAATTGTACCAATAAAGCTGAGGGAGACATCAAACAGAAAGCTTTAAAAGCATATCTTGGAAGCCTCAAGACATGCTTATTGTGTTTGGCTATGAACAGGCAAAGGTACTTTTCAGGAAGGTCTTTTTTATCTTATCTCTGGTTCAAATTTCAGTTTTGCCTTCTTCTTTTTCCTCTTCTCCTTTTTTGTTTTATTGAAGTCATGTTCAACATTAATAATACAATATTCAGCTCGCCACCAAAGAGCCCACTCAGTATCTGCAAAGCTAATAACCCTTAATTCAGAGGAGCTGGGGGGGAGGATATAAAAGAAGGAAAGAAATCTGAATAAAGGGAGGAAGAACTTCCAGAAACCAGACAAGGGGGCTTTAAATTATAGATTATAATGCAAATAGTTTCTAGTTCCTATCGGGGTGCTGTAGTGATTATTGCTGTAGTGATACAAGTATAACATGCTGTAACACTGTGTGTGTCTACCTGAGACAGGACGGGGATACGAACCAGAACAAAGGCAGGAATGTTGGCTGTAGTCCACTTCACAAGAAAGAGATTTCTATATTAAAAGTATTTCCTCTATCTATAATCTCTAGCAATGGATATTTTATAATAACAGATTTTTCTACTAGGAAAGGCAAACTATATTTCATATGTGTGCTGTAATGTTGTTTTACAGTGTTACAAGTCAAAGGGGAACACAGCTTTCACATACTTCCCTGGGGAAAGGTTTGGGTAGGCATTGCCTGTCAATAACTACAGAATTGTTTTATGCTCTAGGCATGTTTCTCCACATTACAGTAGTTCATTCTTTGAACAAACAGAGATGGAAAATTCAACAAGTATAATACTTTAAAGGTGACATTAAGCCAAACTGGAGTTAGCACTGGTGACTTCTGTGCATCTACATTTAGGTTATCATCCACTGCTGGTCCATAATCAGAATTCTCCAAAAATTCATTATAGAGAAGTGCCAAAGAATTGGTCTCTCAACACAGAAAGTCCAAAATGTGTTCATTGTCTTCTATGGATCACTTCTGTCCTTTATGCTGAGTGCACAGTAAGATGAAGTTACTACAGCTGTGACTTCTTCACCTCATCTGTTTGAGTTCTCTGCCACTCCAAAGCTGTGACTAGCACACAATCACGGGAGTTTTTGTTTCCACTCAGGGCAGGGCTTTGTCCACAATGTTTGGACATAAAATTTAGCAGAGAAACTGTATCAGTAGGTGATATAATGAATGTCTCTACTAGAATATAATTGTTTTCCTCATTAATAAGATACACTTCACAATAACTCAAAAATTCTCTATTAACAGGTATATATCTAAGGGGCTCAGTCTCAGCCTTATAGTTTGTTTGAGTGTTCTCACACATCAAACAGAGGTATCAGCCATCTTCTTTAATCACTTCTGTAATCGTTCCTCCCTGCACCCAGGGATAATGGCATCAGTACCTGGACTCTGGAGCTGGAAAGATGCAAACAGGCAAGGTGAGATGCCAGGAACAGGGCCTTGACTGCAATAACAGGCCTTAATGGTCCTAATCAGCCTCACCTGGGGCCTCCACCCACACTCTCTTCCCACGGGGAGGGAATGAGCAAGCAGGAGCGTGAAGCTTTAAATGTGGGACAGGCCTGAGACAGCTAAATCTGAATAATTGGCAGCCTACTTGACACACACTAAAATGAGGAACAAACACGTAAGGGTTCAGCTGCTCTTGGATTCTCCTAAAACTTTAATACTATAGGGGCTTATGTTCTCTTTTCTTTCAGTCTATTGCTCCTTATGTTGCAAGAATCTGATCTTTCTCAAGAAACACTTCTTGAGCAGGGAGCTCACTCACCTACACAGCTTTTACTTCCTTAATTGACGTACACAGCTTGCTCATAAATGCCCCCCTTTTTTTTTTCTTTTCTTTTAGTTATGTCAGATATAAATACTGTGGAATATCCAGTGTAATTTCTTATTCCTGAAAGGAGGATAGTCAGTATGATCCATTTTGAAAACTGTTGGCTAATAAGGGCTGCTGTTCCCTTCGGAAAGGGCTCTGCCAGGAAACCACTGTTGGTACGTTCTGATATATAATATTTCTATATCAGAACATATCAAACTCAAAAGTGACTGCATGTGTAAATTCAAAGCATAATACATGGGAAGTGCTGTAGTTGTTTTTATTTCACCTGCTTTGTTTCCTTGTGACAAAAGCCTGTTCCACAAGCCATAACAGACAATGTTAAAAGTTACCCATCTCACAGAGAAAGATATTCAAGGCTTTGATCATTCAACTCCTTGTAAAATTTTCAAATCCCTAACCTCTCATTAAATGCCAGCAAGTGTTTCCAACCAGGAACAGAGCATAATGCTGGGTGAAATCTGAAACTCCAGATTGCACGGCATTATTGCAGATGCCTGTGGGTGCAGACAAGTGTCCTTCAGCACGCATTGTGTACATCACCATTTTCCGTCCCATGTGGAGAAACCCCAGAAGAATAGCACTGAACACCAGCTGGGATTTTTGTGAGCTGTCACCAAAACCATACCCACTTACATGATTTTTTTTTTTTTTTTGGTAATCATTTTCTGATGATTCATGTGAAGAATATTTAACAGACATTGATGAGAATTCTGCATCTGATTGTAACCTATACCTATGCCCCTTTAACTCATATTAGGTTGTGGAGATAACCAGAAACATTTTTTTCTTTTATCTCCTCTTCTCCTAGTGAAAGAAGCCTCTATCCATACCAGAGAGCAGGATTGGCCACGAGATGTCACCCAGCTTCTATTAGCTATTATGCAGGCTTGGGAAAACAGACCGCTCTGAAGCTGTGCTAAATAGAGACCGTCTCGCCACTACAAAATAGAGTCATCTTATTGCAAAAAAAACCAGTAGCTTTTTTTTTGCGCTAATGGCTCTCAGAAGCGAACTTCTGGGAGCTTGTAGAGAGTGTTCTTGAGACAACCTAAGTGGATGAATAAATAAAAATACCTGTGTCTAACGCTCAGTGAAACGCCGGCTGATGCAATGCGTCCGCTTAGCGCGGACAAAACCGCATCGCTGCCAGAGCCGGGATCCGCGCCCGACCTCACGCGTTTGCGGAGGAGGACGAGCCGGCGGGAGGCGGAGGAGAGGAGGCCGGAGCCGCCCCCGCGGACTCACCGCGGCGGGCGGGGGCTGCGCAGGGGCGGCGGTGCCGGGTGATGGTGCCCCCCGCTCACCCCCATTCCCGCTGCCCGTCCCCGCGCCCGGGAGGTTCCCCCTCGCCCCCGCGCCGGGCGCGCACTTTGCAGACGCTCCCTCGCTCTGCCTGCGCCTGTCACAGGCGTTTCCGCTCGCCCGCCCCTCCCTCCCTGCCTGCTCCCGCTCCCCGAGCGCGGCCGGCACTTTGCAGACGCTCCCCGGCGCCCGCCCGCCCCCGCCTGGCCCGTCCCCCGGCGGGCGCGGCCGCGCCTCCGCCCGCGCTCGGCCATGGGCGCTGCGCCGCGCTGGGCGCGGGGACCTGCGGGCACCGCCGCCAGGTGAGCTGGGACCCTGAGAGGGCTGCGGGGACCGGGGAGGGCGCAGCTGCCGCCGCCGCCGCGCCCAGCCCCGCCGCGGGGGTCTCCGCGCCGGGGAAGGGGCCGCCACACGCCCCAGCGCCGCGGTCGCATCGCCCGCGGTGCGGAGCGGCGGGGATGGAGGGCATCGCCCCTCAGCCGCCCCGGCGCGGCGGGGCCCGTGCTCGCTGCGGCCCGGCCGCCCCCGTCACCTTGCGGAACGACCTTCGGGGAGCGGCGGCGGCGCCCCCCGGCCCGGCAGGGCAGGGGAGGGGAGGGGAGGGGAGGGGGGTCTGCCGAGGAGGGGGCGGCCCCGGGAGCCCCGCGGTGCCCGCCCCGGGCTCGCCCCGCGGGCGCGGAGCGGCCGTGGGTGGTTTTGGCGAGCGCGGGTGGCGGTGCGGTGGGTGGGAGGATGAATCCCGGGCGAGAGTCTGCTGAAATCTCTGCCCCTGACGATGCCATTTACCAGCTCTCGGTTCCACCCGGTTGCTGGTTTTGTTCCCTCTCCAGTGCTTTGTGAACCTCTAGGAAGTGAATTTGAGAAAAAGGTTCCTGAAAGCTGTCATGTCTTTGCCAAATGTGCCTTGGGCTGCCATGACTGCTACTTTTTTAAAATTTTTTCTTTTTTTCTTGTTTTTTTTTTTTTTTTTTTTTTTTGCCAGAGATGCATTGAGCTTTAGACTGGAAATAACAGCGCTTTTTATTTGCCAGGTTCGTTATTTCTTACACATCACCATCGTATTGTGGTTTGATCGCAGAGATTTATCTTGTCTCTGAGAATCAGGGACTGACCTGATGTGATTGCCTAGGTGTGCAGACCTACATTAAACAAGTATTTGTGGGGCCCTTTTTATTGTCTCCCTTGAGTTTTAGCAGCTGTTTGAGGTAGACTTACTTTTTAATATATTTAGTGGAGAATAAACGTCACTTAGTTTTGAGGAACTAAATCTTGGTAGAGGCTTTTCTGCCTGTTAACATAAGGACTGTAGGTTCCATCTTTTCCAGATCTGGTACAGTATCAATCTCATCTTTTCAGAGTATTATTTTCTTTCTGGTATTGTGGTCAGCAAACCTGAGAAAGTGAATTCTTGATTCTTGCATTAGGTCTTGTTACATCAATTTCTCTTGATAACTGAAGCACTAGTAGAATACTCTTTAAAGGAAGGCTCACTCTTAAGATTCATGTTGTTATACAGTCTTACTTGTCTGAAAAGCTCTGTCACCTTGTCCCCATGAAACAGTATGATAGCTTTTTCAGCATGACTCATAATCCTAAATACAGGAATGAATTTTGACTTAGTGCTGTGCAAGTGCTTTATCTTTGTGCAAACAGCTTTGTGTGTAGAAAATGCAAGTAGGGTAGAGGGAATCACTGGTACTCAGTCTGCTAATCTTTGTCCTCAGGAGAACAGCATTAGAAGTTGTTTGCAGGCTGTGGGTATGTCTTTGCTCCTAAATCAATGAGGTGATCTCGGTTCTTTCAAAATACTTCTGCTGTTTCATAAAAAGCTTTCAAAAAAGGAGGAACCAGTTTGTTCTTGTTTTTTATTATTGAAACCATTTTGCCTGGGGACACGAAGTTCAATTTAGTCAGAATGGTTGATTTACCTTTTTCTTTCTTCATCTCTCTGCAATGACTCTGACTGCGCTTCATGAGAAACTCTCCTTACTGCAGCACCCACAGTTCCCATAATTAGTGCTGGTTGTACCAAACATATTAGTAGGAGAAAAAAAAAACTTCACCTTTTTTTTTTTTTTTCCTGGTGGTTTTGTTACATACAGGGTAACTTTCACTACTGCTTCCTGATCTTTACCTGTATGAGATGATGTAGGGAGTAGTTTACTCTGAAAATAGCCATGGAACGGTATGTTTAGTGAAAAGAATGCCTATGCTTCAGGATTTAATGTATGCACACTGTTTTCTGTTGCACTTCTGTAGAATATGGATTTATTTTGTACGAACAGAATAAGGATTAAATAAGAACATATGCTTCTTCTTTTCTGGGTGATAAATCCATCTTGCTGTCCCGGAGGAAGGCAGCTTATACAGCCTGGACTGAAAAGATGCTGAAAGACAAAGTGACTGAATGCTGAAAATAAGAAGATCAGGTTGTTTAAGCTCCCCAAACTAAACTGCCTAAAACTTGGGAAGCAGCCAGCAACACTGGGTGGAAATCATGTAAAATCCTTAATCAACTTCATGAAATAGAATCTGGCAAAATAATGAAGTGTTCTGAATTCTTAAAATGACTTTGAATAAAGACAATTGCTCTCAAGTTTTAAGTCATCTCCCTCCAACCAGATTCCCTTCTGTTCCCTTGTATAAAAAAGAAAGCTTCATACTGTTAAGTTCTGTGCTTGAAATAATATGTTGGATTTTATTAGTACTCATTTTCCTTCAAGTTTGAATTTTATTTAATTTTTATTTTATTTACAGCATTACGTTTTTTGGTGGTGTATGCTGCCATCATCTAGCAAGTTCACTCTGGTTTTTGCTTCTTTTGAATAAAATAGCTTAGTATGCAGTTTTCTTCCTCATCTTGGCTTTGAAATTTTATTAGAACTTCAGGAGTCATTGCTGTTGTCCTTCGCTGGTATTATAGCTTGGTTGTTGGTTATGTGGTAGGTGTTTTGAAGGCTTCTATGAGTACAGTGTTCATGTTTTGAGCAGATTGAGATCTAAAGGAGCCTGTCTTAGTATTTCATGAGAAGATGGGAGAATTAGTTCAGTTTTTTTGATAGTCGCCATAAGGGAGATCCAGTGGCAAACATTATGGTTGTTTGCCAACAGATTGACTTAGTGTTTGCGTAGTCTTTTAAATAGAGGGTGGAAAGAAATACAGTGATGAATATCAGAGTGCTAGGTGCTGATAGTATTTTCAGTTATATTATTCCCAAAGCGTCTGCTGAACTCTTCTGCTTGGCCTCTTTTGGAACCAGAGCAGGACTCCAGCAGCAATTCTTGGTAACGAACATCGGAAGCATCTGCTGAAGGAAATGAACATGCTGCACACTGCTAATCAGCTGGGAATCTGATGAGTGGAAACTTTTTCAGGAATCAGGCAGTTTTGCAATTACTGCATCCTCAATTTCAAAAAACTCTCAGCTGGAGTGGAATAAGGTCATTCTTTATTCCTCTCTACTTTGGCAGAGTTAATATTTGTGCATCTTCGTGTTTTGTATACCACATATGCACATGAACTTAAACAAAAAACCCCCCAAAACCTAACAAATCTCATCTTCCATACTTCAAAAGAAAAAGTGGAACTTTGTATTTGCCTCTGTGTGTATGCATACACACTCAAACCCCTCTTTAAACCTCTTATTATTGGCATAGAATACTGAAGTTTCACTTCTGAAGGTCTTAACCTGTTTCACTTTCATTTCTTGAAGAGCCCAGACCTGCAATATAATGAAGTATAACTTCCATGAGGAGTAAATCTCATTCAGATTGTGCTTTAGTAGTGGCTTATTTCCATCACTTCTGACCTTTTTTTTTTTTTGTACAATTTCTGGTTTGTTCGTGTGAATCAATAATTTACATATTTTAACTCGTGGCTACAAAGAGTTTTGTAGAAACTTAGACTAATTCAGCTGAAGGGTTTTGAATACTAACATAGACTCTCT